CCACTCTTTCCTAATGTTGGGATCAGAAGGAAGGCGATGCAAAGACTGTGTTTTTTCCACAGGTTGGCGCTTCACAGCATCTTGTTGTCTTCGGAGCATCTTTATCGTTTGGTTTCTAGGTAGACCTGGGTTTGCCTCTCGTTATTTACACTGAATGCGTGAATCGGTGGGCGGGGCTAAACAGGCAGTGCTGTAGAAGCAGGCGTTGATCTTCTTCTGTGGAGGTGGGGTTTAGCCACACTATTGCATCATAAAGTGGCACATTCCACAACCTGTCGTTTTGGCAGATTGGCTTCATTATAAGCTGTTTTTAGACTAACGAGAAAGTTTTGAGTTCTGGAACTAACAGGCTGTTTTTATAGTACAGTGACCTCTTATCTGTCAAAAGATGAAGGGAATTGTGATTTCAGTTCATGACCCTTTTAACACTACCTTTTTCTATTCTATCTACTTAGTTTTTATGTAATATAAAAAAATTGCAACGTGTACTGGGACTAACCAGGACTTGTCGCAGCACTTTCATGCTGTTGCTCTTTTGTTGGTTTGATTGCTTCTATTGTCCTTTGGATAAAAGCGTCTGCTAAATGACTAAATGTAATGTTTACATTAATCTAGTCACTCCCAACTGTCTAATTCAGTGTAGAGAAAGACAATTCTTTTTTTCTTTTGTCAATCTTTTTTTATCTTCTACCAGTACACATCGATTCACAAATTTCTAAATATTTTTTTTTTTTTTTTTTTTTTTTTTACTTTTTATCTAACTTATCTACTACTCAAAGTGTGATAAAGAGTAATAAAGAAACATGCATGAATGAGAAGATAAAGAGTGGAATGTGTTTGATTTTAAACTGAGTTAATAAAAAAATCAGTGGATAGCTGAGCAGACTCCAGTTCACTTTACAGCGAAATGTGGCAGTTCTGGCGTTTGTTTTATAATACTGAGTTGACTAAAATGGGAAGAAAAACAAAATAAATTTCAAGGTTTGCAGTTAATTCAGTGGGACTTTTATTTTTTCGAGACCTTTTAAACTGTCTACCGCAGCCAAATAAGAAAAGTAACATAAAACAGTAAGCTAGAATGAAATCTATGCATATATTGAATCGAAATATGATCAAACTGTGACTCCAAGAATCGATTTGAATCAATTAGATTCCCAACCTTCTTTCTTTGAAATGATGCCTTCGAAAGAAGTCTCTTCTGCTCTCCAAAGCTGCATTTATTTGATCAAAAATACAGTAAAACAGTAATATTGTGAAAAATTATTACAATTTAAAATAACTGTTTTCTGTAAGGAATAATTGACTCCGGGCCGTTTAATTATTAGAAAAATATTGCACACCCGAGGTGGTGATGCGACCACAACGCGAAGCAGAGTGTGTGCATTCGGGTGTGCATTATTTTTCTAATAATTAAACGGCCCGGAGTCAATTATTCCGCTTATACTACGGTTACCACACCTCAAGACATCGATGTCTGATATGATATATTATTTGATATATTTATGATCAAGAAAAAAACATCGTCTTATATTCGGGTCAATACGGTATTATAAAATGTCATTTATTGCTGTGCCAGTCTTCAGTGTCACATGATCCTTCAGAAATCATTCTAAGGCTACGTCCACACGAAGCCAGAGCTTTCCCTATCCGATCTTTTTTTCCCTCTCGTCTCAAGAAATATCTGCGTCCACACGAAACCACGAAAACCGACACAAAACGATGTAGTATGGACTATGCGCATAAACCTTGCGCGCGGTATACAAACGAACATGGAACAATACATTTATTAACCTGTGTTAATGTTACTTATTAAAAAGACAATCGTTCAGTGTTTGTTCGTGTTTTTGTTGCTGTTACGTGACGTAGCGGTGTTTGACTAGGGGCGAGACGTGGGCTGATGATGTCATCGTTTCAGAAAATATACGGATTCGCTGTCCACACGAAAACGCAAGGGTGGCATTTTCAGATTTATCCACTCTGGGACCCGGTTTCAAAAAATATCGGTTTCACTCTCCCAAAACGCCGGATCCGTCTGGACGAAACGCCTATACGATACAAAATGTATGCGTATACAGCTAAACGCGTCTCCGTGTGTACGGGGCTTAATATGCTGATTTGTTGCTCAAGAAACATTCCTGATTATTATCAATGTTAAAAATAGTTTGGCTTCTTCATATTTTTGTGGAAACCATAATAAAAAAAAATTTTCAGGATTTTTTGATGAATAGACTTCTCAAAAGGAAAGCATTATTTGATACAGAAATGTTTTGTAACATTATAAATGTCTTTACTGACACTTTTGATCAATTTAATGCATCCTAACTGAATAAAAGTATTAGTATTTCTGATACTATTTCTGTCAAAATATTCTGTCATAAAGCAGTTTGTTGATTTTGTTTCAGTCAGGAGAGAGTGAAGAGTGAGGTGAGAGATGACCTGATCCGAAACTCCCAGCCCATCCTGTCAAATAAATCCCAGATGCTCGGCATGCCCCAGTACGGCCTGCGGGATAACCTCATCAAATGTGAGCTCCTCAAGAACGAGGACGCCTACACCTACATCAAGAACTACAGGTGTGGTTAGGTACCAGTCGTCATGCTTGATGTTAACATTTGCCTGTTATGTCATACGCTTATTTTAACATTGCATCTGCTGCTTTTCAGAGGCCCTCATGGCCTACATTTCACAATATGTAAACAGAAATGTTATTTTCTGAGGCATTAAAGTGACATATTGTTAATTAGAGCCCTGCATTTCAGGACTTCGAGCCAATTTTCACGTCGCAGCTCACAGCTCTCCTTCTTTTTATATTTTAGACATCCATCAATTAAGGTGATGGAATGCACATTTCATACGGATTACATAATCGGAGAGTATTTGTTTTCGATTTGAATGGGGTCATTTTAAAGTAGTCTTTTCAAGCTTTCTATAGATATAGTTCTCATTTCTGTGAAGCAAGTAGCCTAGATGCTGAGTTTCGGTTCATTTTTGTGCTGTGCTCCAGTTCACAGAGACTGAGACAGCAGAAAGCACATCCTGTTTGTTGTCTTTGTTACAAAAGCACAATGTTTTGTTGTTATTGTGAGAGCACACAAATAAAAGTAGACCCTTTACAGTTTCAAATGATGGATTACTCTTATCTGTAAGAGCAAAAATTGAGTATTTTAAGTTGTTTCCACTGTTATCCGTAAAAACTAAATGCAAGTGATCACGCAGGTGACTCAAAGTCATGAAGCATGCTTTAGCTTGGATATGCGTCTAACAGTGCAGGTTTATTTAGGTTAAATGTTTAAACCAACATTGTGATATGCTTGCAGTTTTATATACTGTATATATATATATATATATATATATATGGATTTTATTGTAGGCAAGTCAAATGTTGATTTGAGAAGGCTAAATTTATCAAACATGTGGTCAACTCACTGTCACTCACTGCGTCGAATTGTACCTTATTTGTAAACGAATCCACTGTAAAATTAAGTGAACAAAGACCAAGTTCTTACTGCCGCCGTCTGGATCTTCATTAAAAATAAAGTAAATCCACTCTTTCCTAATGTTGGGATCAGAAGGAAGGTGATGCAAAGACTGTGTTTTTCCACAGGTTGGCGCTGCACAGCGTCTTGTCTTCGGAGCATTTTTATCGTTTGGTTTCTGTGTAGACCTGGGTTTGCCTCTCGTTATTTACACTGCATGCGTGATTCGGTGGGCGGGGCTAAACAGGTAGTCATGTAGAAGCAGTCGTTGATGATCTTCTGTGGAGGCGGAGTTTAGCCACACTATTACATCATAAAGTGGCACATTCCACAACCTGCCGTTTTGGCAGATTGGCTTCAATACAAGCTGTTTTTAAACTAACGAGAAAGTTTTGAGTTCTGGAACTAACAGGATGTTTTTATAGCACAATGAACTCTTATCTTTGATTTCAGTTCATGACCTCTTTAACATGTCTTTGCTGAATAGGACAGTAAATGTAATGTTTGCCCTCCCAAAATATCTTACTGATGTAAATTTGTAAATTTCAGTTCAATGCATTTTTTGAAGTTGGTGATGATCATCCTTGAGTGGACATTTGCAGTACTGTGTCAGCAGTGCCCCCTTTTGGATGGAAACCTGTCCTACAGCTGCACATGCATGGACAGTATTTCTACAAAAATAGTGATGCTGTTTGCAATCATTTGCAGTCATAAGCGTAGTCATTTTAAAACAACACTGTATTAAATCCAGACTCAGCCATAATTAAACAGACTCCTGTGTTGGAATGGCTTTTATTGACTATTGCAGTACAGTAGTTCTCTAGGTTTCAGTATGTGAGATGTTTCTTAATTGATTCTGGCAGCTTCTCTCTTTGGCTTGTGTTGTGACATCATGTGAATCACTCAACAGCTTTTTCTTGGGCACCTACAATGTGAATGGCAAGAATCCAAAGGAAAGTCTCAGTCCATGGCTGGCATCCACCACCACTCCTCCAGACTTTTACCTTGTGGCGTAAGATTTCACATTATTATATTTATATTAATGTAAACAGCAGTGAAGATGGACAGATCAGTGATTCTGATTCCCTGCTGTTTTCCATCTGTAGTTTCCAGGAGCTGGATCTCAGTAAAGAGGCGTTTCTCTTCAATGACACTCCTAAAGAACCCGAGTGGATGTTAGCTGTCTACAAGGGCCTCCATCCAGATGCCAAGTACGCTTTTGTAAGGACTTCCTCTGCCCACTCACACCTGAGCTAGTGTGCACTAATGCCCTTAATCCAGATTTTTAACTCAAAAACAGAATTATTAGAATATGCTGCTGATATGGATTGATTATAATTCATTACAAACTACTTATTAGTCAAGCTGTCAGTAAATTAACCATTAAGGTGAGTAAAATACTAATAGAGATCACCATATTTCCCCAGTTGATTGATTACATTAGGAGTGTAGGACATGTGATGTTTAAATATGTAAATGAGGTATTGTCTGATTAAATATGCATTATTTTGCATACATTTCCAGAGCAGAAAGCTGAACATTGGGTAAAGCCATGATCAAAGTGCTTGTTTCATTTTGTTGACATGTTAAGGTTTTGGAAATCTCTTTTTATCACTAACACAAATAAAAATAATTTTCACCATGTTTTTAGGAATAAAATGTTGCATACAATCAGGCAAATAATACGAATGCACGGATCCAATATAATGATGCACTTGAGATTTCTTTCTCCACTGTTTACGTTCACTTAAGACATAACCCACTGTGTTTACAAGAATATTTGCCGAGACAGTTATTTTGAGATACTTTTGTGTGTATGTGTTCATTCAGATGCAAGGATACGCGAAAGAGGAATCAATTCTGTGTACGCGCATTGTCTGAAACGCGGCTCTCTGTGAATGGTCTCTCTGTTTGAATGAGTGCGCACAGCTCCGAATGCGCGTGAATGGTTTAAAACACTTGAATGTTTAAATCGGCAAGACTTAGAAACACGTTCAAACGATCAACTACGATCCGTTTTACCCATATAAGCGAGTGAACAATGCAAATCAAGGAAGGAATTTTATATCACTGTTCAAGATAGCCCGTCGGGCAGGGTGGTGAAACATTTTGGTAGCCCGACTGGAAAACACAATAGCCCCGGGACGTCGGGCTAGCGATTTTGCGAGCCCTGAGTGCGACTGACCCGATTGAAGCGAATGAATAGTTGTATACGGAGTCTAAATTTAACAGTTGTAAAGCGGCAAGTTACACAAGTAATCCTAAAAAAATAGAGCCATGTTTCTGGTGCATTGAAATAACCTTTCTCGTTTAGGGTAATAAAGGTGCAGTAGCAATCCGCTTTCAGTTTCACAACTCCGACATCTGTGTGGTGAACTCCCACCTCGCCGCGCACACAGAAGAGTTTGAAAGACGCAATCAGGACTTTAAGGACATTTGTCGCAGGATGCAGTTCAGTCCGGATGACCTCACACTACCACCCCTCACCATCATGAAACACAAGTACGAGCGAAACACAACAGCCTGCCAGTTTAATTAGAGACAAAAGTCTAATTCTCCCCGTTTTAAATCTTTTATCATTCTCTCTTCACTTCCAGTGTTGTGTTATGGCTGGGAGATCTAAACTACCGAATAAGTGACCTTGAAGTTGATCATGTGAAAGACTTGATAGCTAAAAAGGATTTTGAGAGCTTGTATAATCACGACCAGGTAGGACAGAACACACTGCGGTTTGTCTGGATAGTGTTGAGTTAGATGGCAGTATGAATGACCGTGGACGTACCTGTGTTTCAGTTGAAACGGCAGATGGATGAGGAGGTTGTGTTTGTGGGCTTCACGGAGGGAGAGATTGATTTCCAACCAACATACAAATACGACACTGGCTCAGATCAGTGGGATACAAGGTCAGAAAACACCATCACACACTTTGATCACGCACACCATCAAAAGAGATTCTCAGCAACATAGTTTTGTGCCCAGTTGGTTTGTTGCCAGTCTGTAGATTTTGATGTAATATGCAGACGTACTAGGAAAGTATTACTGTGAACAAGTATTAAACTTGGGCACATAATTCATTTGTGCTATGGATATAAATAAATACCTTCTATCATGGTGAGCTGTTACTTTTCTAAGTGATCAGACATATGTTTCTCGCCTAGGTAATAAAAAAAGTGAAAATTTATGAAGAATGAGGGACCCAATTCATATTTAGATACCAGAATATCATAGGGACTTGGGGTTTGGCTCTTTTGTACCAAAAGACAGCCACATAGTAATGTTCTTTTAAGAAACATTTACTAACATTATAAGTGGACTAGGGCTGCACGATATTCAAAACAAAATCTATATTGTGATATGGCTTATAGCGAGTATCAAATTTAGATGGCTGCGATTTAATTAAATAAATATATGCACTGCCTTTTTTTTTAGAGTGAAATGAGAGAGTTTTTATTTACACACAATTTATTTATATGCCAGCAAACTGTCAAAATAAAAGCTTGATGGTTAAAATCTCTAAATTAAGAAATTAAGATTGTATTATTTCTGGTCTGATTACTGCATCTCAGCAGTGTTGTTTGGTTTTTGTATGTGTTTGTTTATGCAGTGAGAAGTGCCGAGTTCCAGCATGGTGTGACCGCATCCTGTGGAGGGGAAAGAACATTAAACAGCTTCATTACCAGAGTCACATGACCCTAAAGACCAGCGACCACATATGGGTCAAAGACGAAAAAGGGTTTAAGCATAAAAACATTAAGTGTAATACTGCTTTAAATATATATTTTTTTTTTTTGGGAAAAACAAAAACGGGGAAAGAACATTAAACAGCTTCATTACCAGAGTCACATGACCCTAAAGACCAGCGACCACAAACCCGTCAGCTCTCTGCTAGAGATCGGGGTGAGAACACCAGCCGTGATCATGCACCCTTCAGCCAGTCCTCGTTCTGTGTCCGCTTACTGACATCTGCTGTTACTCTGCACAGATCAAGGTCGTGAACGAGGAGTCCTACAAACGGACGTTCGAAGAGATCGTGAGGCACATTGACAGACTGGAGAATGATTGTATTCCTTCAGTGTCTCTGTCTCAAAGAGAAGTGAGCAGTCTTCCATCATTTAGTTGTTGACTGATACATTTTACATTTACACTGATATACAAAATTTTGGGGTCAGTAAGATATATATATATATATACAGGGTGCGATTTGTGAAAAAACCAGAGGGGGGATGCTTTTGAATATTTTTATGAAATATTTTTAATACGACAGAAACTGTATTTAACGTGATCACAGTTTAATAAAAATATTGTACGTTAGGCCTATTAATTGTAATGATTTCATTTCCACGGTTATTCAAACAACGAATAAATTATATAGCGAAAACGATGAGATTAAATTAATAAATGAATAAAAATAGACTATTCAGTATTTTCATGAAATGTTAATGTTCGACTAATGATTTTTTGCATGTGGGTCAAAGACGAAAAAGGGTTTAAGCATAAAACAATAAGTGTAATACTGCTTTAAATTGTTGTTGTTTTTCCCCCCAATTTTTTTTTAAATGTCTGTTTAATTTTAATTGCAATTTTGTTTTTGTTTTTCTGAGCAAAAAATAAATATCATACATTTTTCCCTGATTTACAGAAGAGACCCACTAAAATGTCATTCAGTGTAACAATCTTGTCAGGCATATTTACAACACAAATCAATTTATGACATATTAAAAGACTAATTACTTTCACCCCAAATACTAATTAGTTGTAATTTTACATTTCTAAAATTTGCCACTATCCTAGGTTTTGCCCATTTACTCATTTAAAACACAATCAAATTTAATATGCTCCCTTATTCTTTTATATATTTTAATATGTACATGTCAGAATAAGCATGTTGTTTGAATTTTTACATAAATATTGTGTTTCAATGAATGACAATGTAACATTATTTCAACCAAATTTTGACAAACTTGTTCCAAAAAGTTATTTGAATCCTTAAAAGTAGACACTTTACTTACATTTAATGTGCTTTCTATGGACATATAATCACTTCTGTAAATTTCTTTTGATGCGGACATCTTAATGTATTTGACCCATATATATAAAGTATGTATATGTCTATATATATATATAATATATATAATTTTTTTGTTGAAAGACAATACTTCCTTCAGCAAAGATGCATTTAATTAATCTAAAGTGACAATAAAGACATTTATAATGTTACAAAATATTTCTATGATAATTAAATGCCGTTTATGCACTTTAGAGCTTAATATTCATCAAAGAATCATGAAAAAAATCTATTATGGTTTCATCAAAAATATTAAGCAGCAAAACTGTTTTCAACATTGATAATAAAAATGTTTCTTGAGCAGCAAATCAGCATATTAGAATGATTTCTGAAGGATCATGTGACACTGAAGACTGGAGTAATGATGCTGAAAATTCAGCTTTGTATCACAGGAATAAATTACATTTTACAATTTATTCAAATAGAAAACAGTTCTTTTAAATTGTAATAATATTTCACAATATTAACGTTTTTACTGTATTTTAATCAAATAAATGCAGCCTTGGTCAGCATAAGACACTTCTTTCAAAAGCATTAAAAAATCTTATGATGATTATTTAATGCTCATTTAAATGGAAAATGAATGCTTCATATTTCCTTTTGGTTTCTTTCTGTAGTTCCACTTCCAGGATGTGAAGTTCATGCAGCATCAGGCAAAGACTGTGACCGTTTATAATGATGGACAGGTGCCGTGTCAATTTGAGTTTATTCCAAAGCTGGACGAGCCCTCCTACTGCAAGCCCTGGTTAGCAGCAAACCCAGCTAAAGGCTTCTTGGCTCAGGGTGAGTGGGATTCTCTACTACACTTACATTAGCCACAGTGTTGGTGTTTATTTGATGTAGATGAAGTGAAATCTAGTTAACAATTCTAAAACAACCAGCTGTTAGTGTTTTATTGATATTTGACTGGCTGTTATATACCCTCTTGCTCATATGCCATCAGTTGTATCACGTAACTCTGTGTCCTAACCAGGTGTGACACAGCAAGTTGCAATAACGGCAGTCATTGTTCAGTCCTCACTGACAGCAAAATGCTGCTTTAAGCAACCAAGCCATAGCCATTCACTTGATGTGTATTGATGTGTATTACAAGCAAGCCAACAGAGCCCCCTAAATAAATAAAAGGCCTTATCGGAGGGGCATTAGGACCCGGGGGAGGATGCCGCTGTTGACTGCCGCTGTCATTCTGTATGTGCATTCTCAAATTAAATGCGGCGAAACAGTGAATCTAATCATCATTCAGGCAAAAGTATGCTTCGAGAATGAGCACACTGCTGACGTGACGTGACGCATAATTTTTTCAAATCCCATTATCGGCCGATTCCGATAATGTTCCGATAATATCATGCATCCCTACACATCGCACCCCCTTAATACAAAAGCGTGTAGTCATTCTTGAGTCCAAATCTCCCTTTGAATGTTTTCTGTCCGTAGCAGCGATCAGTCGTTATTGGTACAGATCAGAGATCAGTTTTATTCAGTCTCACATTAGCGTCACTGATGTCATTGTGGTCTTTGTGTAGGTGCCAGTGTGGACATCGACCTGGAGGTGTTTGTGAACCGCTCTACAGCCCCAGAGCTGAACTCAGGCCAGCAGCAGCTGGAGGACATCCTGGTTCTGCATCTGGACAGGGGGAAAGACTACTTCATCTCCGTCACGGGCAACTACCTGCCCAGCTGCTTCGGCTCGTCTCTCAGTACCCTGTGCCTGCTGAGAGAACCCATCCAGGACATGCCCCTGGAGACCATCAGAGAGCTGGTGAGATCCTGCCATTAGTAGCTTAGTCGTATTGCTGTTTGTGACAGATCCATAGGCTGTTATATTTTTGAACCAAGTGTTTTAAAACCTAGCGAGCTGCCCTGCTGCTTTCTGAGGCAGCATCTTAACACAAAAGGATCCTCATAAGTGACTGCACTTCTTAAATGAAGTGCATGAGAGACTCATCTTACGATTGATTGCAATATATTTTGATTTCAGCAAATATGAAAATTTGATTTTTATTGATATTTAGTAGTCCGGTCGGTACAGGGGTCAAGTAAGATTTTTATGTTTTTAAGTCCCTTCTGTTCACCAAGGTTGCATTTATTTGATCAAAAAATACAATAAAAACAACAGTGATATTGTGAAATATTTTTACAATTTAAAATAGCAGTTTTCTATGTGAATATACATTAAAATGAAATGTATTCCTGTGATCAAAGCTGAATTTTCAGCATCATTACTCCAGTCTTCAGTGTCACACGATTCTTCAGAAATCATTCTAATATGCTGATTTGCTGCTCAAGAAACATTTCTGATTTTTTTTTAAACAGTGATACATTTTTTCCAGAATTCTTTGATGAATAGAAAGTTCAAAAGATCAGCATTGATTTGAAATATAAATCTTTTGTAACATTATCAATTTCTTTACTGTCGCTTTTGATCAATTTAATTCATCTTTACTGAATAAAAGTATGAACTTCTTTGAAGAAAAAATAAAATCCTACTGACCCCAGACTGTTGGTACGGTAGTGTACAAAAAGCCAACATTTCTCACTACTCATGATCTTGGTGAGCGAATAGTTTTTTGCAATTGCAGTTGCTGCCATGCATTATGGGTTGTCTTCTCTGTGAAGGATACTCGCATTTAATAAATATCCTACATATCATAAACTTGGTTACAAGCTGTAATCATTTGGGAATGATTAACCTGCCTCATACTTTTCGTTTGTTATGAAGTCAAATAGCCAGGTGAGTAACCCAGAGACTGATAAACCTCAAGAAATCCCCAAGGAAATATGGATGATGGTGGACCATCTCTTCCGTAATGCTAAAAAACAGGTCAGGACATCAGGATTGCCCTTTTCTCACGTATTATTGTGTTTTAACCTCGCTTAAACTTTTCTCTTCATATGGGTCATATGATGTTGCTAAAAAGAACATTATTTTGTGTATTCCTACTCCGGAGCAGGGTCTAACCAGCACAACTGGTTCTAATCGTGACGTAAGTAGACATTGATTGGCCAAACGCGTATGAAAACGCCCTCACCCGCCATGATTTAAAACGCTGTGTAAACATACTGTAAACATTGTGTCAACTTATTTTGCAAGTATGGAGAACAGCGATAGATGGACGGACGCTCAAGTGCAGTCACTTGTAGCAAATGTAGCACTGCCAGTTGTCGTTGGAGATTCTTAGTCCTCCTTTCCGTTCTTTCAATCGCTTTACGTATACGTCGACTTTCCATGTCCATTATTGTGAAACCCGTGAGACACAACAAAAACACAGCTCCGATCACAGCGTCCTCCATCCTCCTGTTGTTAATGTTGTTCTTCTTTGTTTCGGATGTTGAGTGCCGCGCACAAATGACGACGCTGTCGACCTGCTTACGTCACATCTTAGTACACACTCTCGGTGCGAATGCGACCCTTTAAATGGTACTGGGAAATAGTTCCCGCAAAATCGTCCCAGTATAGTACTGTACTGTACATTTAGTTCTGGAACTAAAGCGGTGCGAAAGGCCCTATAGAGATGCTCTCCATAGCAGCACCAACACTAAAGCAGGAATCTGCTGAGGAAATTCATTAAAAGTTATTTCAGTAACCCGAAACAAGAAATTAAAGCTTCCCCAAACCATTCTTTGTTGTTCAGAGATGGCTAGCTAAATCTACTACACAATTACACATGTGATTCATCAACTGATTGTAAATGAAACTTTGAAGCACAATGTCTGGAGTTCATCCAAGAACTGTGTCTGTATTACAGGAAGAGCTCTTTCAACAGCCCGGCCTGCGCAGCGAGTTTGAGGAGATTCGCGATTGTTTGGACACGGGCAGCTTAGACACTCTGCGTATCCTTTCACACGGTCACTGGTTCATGTCTGTGGGGTGAACTGACTCAGCGTGCATCCAGCTTGTTTCCTTCTTCTCTGGATAATTCCAGAAATTAAAAGAGTTTCCTTTATTTTGCAACTGCAAAAATAGACCAGGAGAAAGACTTGGTGATGAGGGTTTGGGCAAAAAACAAGTGCAGTCCAGTGGAATAATTCATGGGATATTGTATGGGTGACCATGTTCTCTTTTTCACATTGCAAGAGCAAAAAAATAAATAAATAAAACAAGAATATAACAGTGCTTGATAAGACTAAAAGAGTTATGGGATTAACTCCTCAACTGCCACCCCCCAAAGTGCGCTATCCAAACTTAAATTGTTATAATTCATGAACTCTACAGAGGAAAGGTTGGTCTCTTTTTAAAGAAGACAATCAGCAGATTATTGCAGAATAAGTGGAATTATTTCAGAAAATTAAAGTATCAAAAAGTTATAGAAGTTTAAATTTACTGTAAAGAAAATGCACTGTACAATTTTTATTTTATTTTATATAAAATATTTTACATAACAGGTTTTACTCTAAAATTGCCATTAAAGTAAAGCCTTATGTCTAAAAAAGTTATGTTCCAAATTTGAAGTTGATATGAAAAAAATTGAGGTTTCTGTGAGATTTTATTTAGGGCGTTATACCACAAACAGCCACCGGGTGCCATCCAAACTCCATTGAATTTTTTTTATGCATTTTGCTGTCACAAATGTCTAGATTTCTCTGTCAATATTACTTTTATCACCAAATATGGAATCCTGAGACACAGACCTTTCCAATGATATGTTTTTGTCAAGATTATAAAAAGTTTTGATTATAAAAGACCGTAATGCATTTTGTAATATGACACTTGACACCGCCTGCTAAGGGGGAGGAGACCGCCAAACGATTTTAGAGTACTGATTTCAAAATGGTTTTCATAGGATGAATCTTGGGCTTCTAAGCTTTCAAACAATATATAATTTATAATGATTACTAAAATATTTGATAGAGAAAAAGGACAACAACAAAAAAGAGCGCCAAGCGTCCCACAGGTAGGACGGTGACAGTTAAGGGTTTTTTTGTAATATCCTGTTAAAAATTTTATTATTAGGAAAAAAATAATAAAAACTAAAATATAAATGCAGTAGTAAACTTACGTTTTTATGACCAGATTAAAAAAAATAGTACCCTTGGTTTTACTAATGTACAGGTGCATCTCAATAAATTAGAATGTCGTGGAAAAGTTCATTTATTTCAGTAATTCAACTCAAATTGTGAAACTCGTGTATTAAATAAATTCAATGCACACAGACTGAAGTAGTTTAAGTCTTTGGTTCTTTTAATTGTGATGATTTTGGCTCACATTTAACAAAAACCAATAAAATAAAACCAATAAAAAAAACATTTTTAGTGAAATGTTGGCCTTCTGGAAAGTATGTTCATATACTGTACATGTACTCAATACTTGGCTCCTTTTGCTTTAATTACTGCCCCAATTCGGCGTGGCATGGAGGTGATCAGTTTGTGGCACTGCTGAGGTGGTATGGAAGCCCAGGTTTCTTTGACAGTGGCCTTCAGCTCATCTGCATATTTTGGTCTCTTGTTTCTCATTTTCCTCTTGACAATACCCCATAGATTCTCTATGGGGTTCAGATCTGGTGAGTTTGCTGGCCAGTCAAGCACACCAACAACATGGTCATTTAACCAACTTTTGGTGCCTTTGGCAGTGTGGGCAGGTGCCAAATCCTGCTGGAAAATGAAATCAGCATCTTCAAAAAGCTGGTCAGCAGAAGGAAGCATGAAGTGCTCCAAAATGAATAATGGTAAACGGGTGCAGTGACGTTGGTTTTCAAAAAAACACAATGGACCAACACCAGCAGATGACATTGCACCCCAAATCATCACAGACTGTGGAAACTTAACACTGGACTTCAAGCAACGTGGGCTATGAGCTTCTCCACCCTTCCTCCAGACTCCAGGACCTTGGTTTCCAAATGAAATACAAAACTTGCTCTCATCTGAAAAAAGGACTTTGGACCACTGGGCAACAGTCCAGTTCTTCTTCTCCTTAGCCCAGGTAAGACGCCTCTGACGTTGTCTGTGGTTCAGGAGTGGCTTAACAAGAGGAATACGACAACTGTAGCCAAATTCCTTGACACGTCTGTGTGTGGTGGCTCTTGATGCCTTGACCCCAGCCTCAGTCCATTCCTTGTGAAGTTCACTCAAATTCTTGAATCGATTTTGCTTGACAATCCTCATAAGGCTGCGGTTCTCTCGGTTGGTTGTGCATCTTTTTCTTCCACACCTTTTCCTTCCACTCAACTTTCTGTTAACATACTTGGATACAGCACTCTGTGAACAGCCAGCTTCTTTGGCAATGAATGTTTGTGGCTTACCCTCCTTGTGAAGGGTGTCAATGATTGTCTTCTGGACAACTGTCAGATCAGCAGTCTTCCCCATGATTGTATAGCCTAGTGAACCAAACTGAGAGACCATTTTGAAGGCTCAGGAAACCTTTGCAGGTGTTTTGAGTTGATTAGCTGATTGGCATGTCACCATATTCTAATTTCTTTAGTGGATTTTGCTATCCTAGGTACTACCAAAAGTCCAGAGTTTTGCGACCTTAGGGAGCGTGATGGATTGTAGCATGGTAGAATACTAGTTAGGTACGCAGGAGCTAAACCATTTAGGGCCTTGTAGGCAAGTAATAATATTTTGTAACTGATTCGGAACTTAATAGGTAGCCAGTGCAGAGACTGTAAAATTGGGGTAATGTGATCATATTTTCTTGACCTGGTAAGGACTCTAGCCGCTGCATTTTGGACTACCTGTAGCTTGTTTATTGAAGATGCAGGACAACCACCTAGCAGTGCATTACAATAGTCCAGTCTAGAGGTCATGAATAGGTTGTTTAGTAGGCTAGAAGTTTGGGATAATTAAGATTTTTCAAGGTTTTTGAAAGAAGTCTCTTATGCTCACCAAGACTGAAATATTTAGTACAATTATTTTCAAATACAGTTTGGGGTCAAGTTTATTTCACAAAGGTTGCATTTATTTAATTAAAATACAGAAATATTACTACAACATAAAATAACTGTTTTCTGTTTTAATATATATTGTAAAATGTAATTTACTCCTGTGATCAAAGCTGAATTTTCAGCATCATTACTCCCGTCTTCAGTGTCACATGATCCTTCAGAAATCATTCTAATATGCTGATTTGCTGCTTTGTTGCTCAATTATTTCCTATCAATGAAGCTTCATTCGTAGTGCAGCCCTTTTGTAGTTCCACGTGTCTCTAGTCTACTTGACTGTTGAGTGCCCTTGACCTGAAGCGCTATTAGCCGGCAGTAACCACTCTGTGTCTGAAGCCCTGCTCCTGTTCCTCGATGCCCTTCCTGAACCGGTGATTCCCTTCTCCTTCTACCTGCAGTGCTTGGAGTGCTGCTCTGACAGCAGCCAGTGTAGACAGGTTTGTGTCTTCAATATGCCTTTTTCAATGCAGTATCCATTTGTGTGAGTGCCATATTTGTATGATCTGAAAAAGTGCAGTCACGGTAAAAATAGCATGTTTCCTTTTTCTTTCTGCCCACAGATCATTTCTATGCTACCTCAGTGCCATAAAAATGTTTTCAACTACTTGACGGCCTTTCTGCAAGAGCTGTTGAAGTACTCTGCACACAATCGGCTGGATGTCAATATTTTAGGTAGGTTGACGATGCACTTTCACTACTTGTTTTGGTGTATTTTTGTCTGCAGATTTTTAAGAGCACAGGCCAGTTTCAATGGAAAGCAGAACTCAAAAGTTTATTCTACCCAAGACACATTCAGTGTTTACTGAAGCAAATACTGCAGCTGGAAGCAAAGCAGCGATTGTCATCCTACTGCTTAAATGTTGGCTTCATGTTATTATTAGTCATTTAAAAACAGATTAGTTGCATAATTAAGAAGTGTGATCCTATACTAGGTTAAGAAAAAGAAAGAAAGTGTAAAGTTTTGGCATCTGTTTTGATTTTCCAGGTTTTTTATAGTCATTGAAAACTTGGAAATACTTGATTTTAACAATTTGATTGACTGTAATGATTAACCGCGAGCCGGTTGAAAATCGATTCAAATATGTGACAATTCAAATCGGTTGAGATGCTAAACAAATCACGATTCAATTAGGGGTAGGAGTTTATATGAATGTATGTCTGAGGGGAACTTACTGTCTTTAGAAAAGTTTAGATGGTATTTTTTCTTTTCATCTTGCCTCTGTATAATGCATTATTATTAGGGCATGTTCACACTTGGCGTCTTTTTTGAAGCTGCCAGCGTCTGTTTTACATTATAATCCTATGGAGTAAACCATGTTTTCAAAAACGTACTGAGCGCTTTTTTAAACGCCACAGCCGGCGTGTTTCTCTGCAGCTCAGAGCGTCTTTTCAAGTTGAAAAAAGGTTAACTTTTCTGAAAAAAACGCCCTACGTCAAGCGCCTTTTTGACAGCTGACCAATGACAAGCGAGTAGCGAGACCTGTCGTTTCCATAACAACAAGAACAAGAAAAAATGGAGAAGGTGCGGGTAGATAAACTGATCGTACTAGTTTCGGAGCACAAGGACTTATATGATATGAGCACAAAATATTTAGTATAATAATAATGTTTTAATGTTTAGTCTAAAATATGCCGCAAACCGTGCATCATCCAACCGGAGCTCCTGGACTAAATTGTTGTAAGCACCATACTGGTTTCTTCCCCGTATAATGTCGTGCACCCACAAATGTCGTTGTAAACCGACATTCTCTTCCTCGTTAACTTCAAAAGCCAACGCAAGAGCCAATTTCCTCTTTCTCGACATTTTTGCACCACACAACGCTATGCTACTGTTGCAGCTGTTGCTATAGCAACAAAAGACGCCCTCGGCTGCTAACAGAAACGCTGCCAGCTTTTTTTTTTTTTCAATAAAAAAACGCCCTTGTCAACTTTTTCTTGTCAAAAAAGACGCCAAGTGTAAACATAGCCTTAAAGTTCATAAGTGCAGCGCTGCTTTGTTTACAGCGGAAACCTAGGAAACGCTTTAAGCGCCACCTGCTGGCAGAGAGTGAATCTGCGTCTCATTCAGCTCGTCTGCTGTTTCTGTTTCATGCAGATATTTTTTATGTATAGTTTCACAAAACTGAAGTCAAACTATTCAGTTTTTGCTTCAAATTTTGAAATTATACAATCTAGTTAGATTAAAAACTGCTCATGTTGCATGTATGCAGCATCTTTGTTTGGATCATGATTAAAATGCAGTGGTTGCCTCTAATTTTAAATGGAAAGAGCACAGACAAAGCCTTATTTTGTAT